AAAGAAATTATCAACCTAGTACGCATAGTTTTATACTACTTCCCTGTCAGGTCAACATTCTTGCGATATTTTTTTTTCAGCAATAAACAAAGGTTTAGAAAATATAGAAGCAATATTTGCTGCCTTCTCAAGTGATCATCAAGTGGTGATGAACTACATCTTGATTTTGACAGCAATCAAGCAATTAAGGGCATGTTTTGATGGATTGCAAAAAATTATTTACTTGTATTATAAACATATTTTTTAACACATATTTTTATATTTTAAATCATTTTTTCTATCTCTCATTCACATCGCACAAAATGCTATAGTTCCTATCTTAACACACCAAATGTTTTGAGACATATTTTGTCTAATTATGGATAGCAAAATCACAATTAACTTGCCGGTCTGATTACCTTATGAGAGGATCAGTGAGAGTAGCGGATAGGTAGATCGCAAGGAATAAAATTACCCCAAACTTTATAGGTACTTCAACTGACCCCACCTCCTTCTTTTCTTTGAAGCAGAGAGGCAAAGGCTCTTTGTTCGAATGCGTGATTGCGTCCGAACATGATCAACTTGCAAGTGCTCCAGGACTCTATTTTTTTTTTTTTTTTTCAATACAGGGAGTATCCCAACTTTGTCAAACTAATCTCCTTGCATCCGTACACCCCGCCCCCCAAGAATACACGAGAGGGTAGGAGAGTCAGAATCGACCACATGACCTGGAGCCTAATGAGGTTATCCCATAGCCAGCCGATCTGCACCCGAGGACCCTCCAGAACTCTATTATGTTTGTATTTTTTTTTTCGAAAATGACAACTATTGTATAACCTATCTATCATAAATTAGAGGAGAGGGGGAGTCTAAAGAAACTTTGTGTTAGGACTAATAGGTACACAGACCTTACTAGACCAAGAGAATGTTTTGGCACAACCTTTGAATTTTTTTACTGCATGTGAGATTTGAACCCTCACCTACAATCCAAACAGGATCTTAAGACCCACCTTGACGGCCACTGAGCTAAGGTCAGTGGTTCTCTATTATGTTTGTACTTGGTGATGGGTAAAGTGACAAACGTGGGTCAGAGCGGAGACAGGGACCAAGAGCCTCTGTATATCCTAAGAAGTATAAAAAGGGGAGTTGGCTGATATCACATAAGAAGTATGGTCCCGTATGGGCACCATCAGTAGGTGGTTAATTATGGAATTTCACTTTGATGTTTGGGTGTTGGACAGATACGATGGTGTTGTTAGCTTACGTGGAAGCAATTGGGAGCTTCTGAAGTTGCATGTCTTGCATGTCTCTGTTAAACAGCTTTTGCTAATGTACAAACTACTAGAATGCAATGTATGTACATATATTATAAACTATTGCCTTCTCATCGCCAAATTGACACACTCCTACTCTTAATTCCACAAACAACACTATAGCGTAGTTAATTTTCCTGAATCCTTTGCATTTGAACCCCTATTGCTGTGCTTAAACCTAATATTTTTTTCAGCTGTTTAATAGTTGCATGAAATAATATAGACGGTTAAATTCATCTTTTTGCATTAAATTAAAAGTTTAGCATAGAAAAGTTAGTGCTTTGAATAGCTTACTAATTAATTAAAAAAAAACTAGATCTTATCGTCAGTTATACATATAAATTGAACTTATATATCTTAGTTTCCCAAAAAAAAAAGAAAAAAAAAAAGACTTATAGTCTTTAAAACAACTCCTGAAATAAGAAAATTCCAAATTAGCCATCTGCTAATTCCGTCTTCCTATTTGGTTTGCTAATGAATTAGTTTTGTTGAGGCAATAAATGCTATTCAAATACCATTTTAATTATTCTTAGTGACTACGTTCAATACCTTAATTGTCTATACTCTGTACTGATTGGGATGACATTGAGTGGGTGGACAATTTTGTGAATTCAATTGTGTATGCTATTGGTCTAGGTTAGTTTCAACTCTGATCGTGTGAGATAGAATACGGTCCAAATATTTTTTGTGACTATGTTAACCTTTGGATTCGAATCTCCAATGGTGTGCTTAAACCTAAATATTTTTTACAACTGTTTAATAGTTGCATGAAGTAATATAGATGGTTGAATTGATTTTTTTGTATTAAATTAAAAGTTTAGTATAGAAAAGTCAGTGCTTTGAATATCTTAGTGATTAATTATAAAAAACTGGATCTTATCGGTAGTTACATGTATAAATTGAACTTATATTCCTTAGTTTCCCAAAAAAAGAAAAAAAAAAAGAGACTTGTACTCTTTAGAACAGCTGCTTAAGTGCAATAATTTCGTTATATAAACTGTACTATTTAATGTGTAGCTATGTTTGATCGATGAATAGATTTAATACTTGAAGTTGCACTACTTTAATATTGCTAAATCAATGATCATTAATCTTAATTGCTTTCAATTCAAAATTAATTTACATTAATCGAAATGGGATATGCACAAGTTTGGTGTATGTTTGTATATCGCTAAAAGTTTCAGCTTATTCAAGTCAATTTGTGTCTTCAAATTTCTCTTTTCAATGTTCCTTTGGTTTCTCAACTATGAGATTGCATCTCCTAGATGGTTGCAACTTGCAATCTGTAATGTGTTAGAAGTAAATACCTTGCACTCAAATAAACCCTCCAATTTATGGATACTTAGGAAGTAAATTAGCCATGGAAATTAGAAATTTTCAAATTAGCCGTCTGCTAATAACTTTCTTCCTATTTGGTTTGCTAATAAATCAGTTTTGTTTGGGCGATAAATGCTATTGAAATATGAGATGCCATTTTAATTATTCTTGGTGATTAGGTTCAATGCCTTGATTGTCAAATTGTTTAGCTTTGGAATCACGTTGGTTTTCCAAGTTATTACTCAAATAACGATACCTTTTCCAAATAGCTCTCGACCAATGATGCAATTGAAAGAATGCACTTCATGAATGCAGTTTTAACAAACAATGCATTCACTAAGTATATGACTTTCAGTCTTTGAAAAGAGATTTTAACACTTTCACTGTTCGGTAAGTCTTTTCAAAAATCATTACTCGGAAATTTATTTGGATTGTCAATCCCACATATGAGTATTGTGCATGCAAGTTAAATTCTTTCAAAAAATTTGGAACTATCTTTTGTAAACTTCCTACTAACTCTCGACTACACTCTTATTGCTTTACAAGCTTCACTAATCTATGAATATTCTGTTCCATTCTTTAAATGCACAAATTCTTTTATAGCTTCCATCTAGGCAACATCATGCATGATGCCCCAACAAACTAGTAAATATTAAGATGCCTTCTCACTTTGGGTCTTGAGTCATAAATGGACTCAACTTACTAATTGAATATCATGAAAGAGTCTAGATACCTTAACATAGCTAATTTTTTTTTTCTGTCAAGAGATAGAAACTCACACACCCAATTAAATTATAAACACTCAGAAAGTTAGCGACTAAATGACCCAGTTAAGAATAATCTAAGGAGGACCCACAAAAAATCCACGTCCAGCCAATTGATGACAGGACAAGAGTCCTATGGATCTTAAACCCAGATTAAAGAACCCACATCCAACCGATGTGGGAGGGATGTCCCTCCCCCCCCCCCCCCCCACATCCAACCGATGGGAGGTAATTATAGCTAATTAATGGGAGGTAATTTTAAAAACATTATATGTGATCATGTAGGCCACATAAATATTCTTACAAATATGAGTTATGACGGGTAATTTTATGGTCTTGACTCTACTGAGCTAATGCAGACAAACTCTACTGAGCAAATTTTATGGTCTTGACTCTACTGAGCTAATGCAGACAAACTCCGTGCCACAGGAGGATAAGGATTCATCGCCAGAAAATTTAACTATGGAATTGTAGATCACCGACCAAAATGATGGACATTATTTTAACCTGGATTTGATGAGCTTGCCTTATAGTTTGTTGACATGTGGAGGCACGCATACTCCAAGAAGATTCAAGGGTTGATGAGCCATGATCAGTTGACCAGGTAGACGAAAAGCAGTAAGTATTTCTCTTCCACCAAAAGATAGAACGGTATATAAAGATTATAGAATATAACTCCATAAAATTTTGATCCAATGGTTGACCAAGGTTTAAGAAATTATTACTAATTTGGTTAATCCAATGCTCATCCTCAAGTGCTTTGGTCCTGAGCTGGTGATATACTTTCAATGCTCTCTCGTGTCCAACAAACATTCGTCGACCTGTTTAACAAAGCAACCCACAGTACAGAAGCATAATTAATATAAAAAGGAAAAAGGAAATTTCTGCTAAAAGATAGTTCTTGTGCGTAAATGTCCTTCTCAATCCTCTTCAGTAGTCATTAATCAAGTTCCGTGTTAGAATATCTTAAACCAAGCGTTATTAGTTTATTTAGTTGTGCGTGGGTTTGACAAGTTCAATGCTTCCTTTTAGTTCTTAGTAATTGTGTCCAAGCACAAATTTGACTCTACTAAGTCCGGGGAGTTTCCTTTAATTTTGCTTAAGTCGTTTAAACAATGGTCAACTCTAAGTCCAAATAAGTTTCGATTTACAATTGTGTCTGTTTAGATAATTTTGCAATCTATAAATACTATTGCTTCTTGAAGAGTTGAATTGAGTTAAGTTGTGAGATGGAGGAAAAGTCTCTAAGTTGATGTTTGTGAATAATCATAAGCGAAAAATTACGACTTGATATTGTTATCGTTGAATTTTGAGTTAATAAAATTATGTAGGTAGATGAAGTGGAGCCTTGTGGCAATGAATAATTCCCCAACCAGAAATGGATTTATCTTTTTGCGTTGCGTACAACCAACAATAGGAATTTCTAACTATATTATATGCAGCCTAAACACGGACGATAGACAGATCTTTTATGCCTCATACAGAATAATGCAGCCAGAAATTGGACCCTAAGGAAAATTAGATTTAGATCAGAAGGGAAAGGCAGGTATTGAGGCGAATTCTCAACGTAATCGCTGTTTCTCCTCTGCCTTCATTTAGGAAATCCAATGATTAGTACTAAAACGAGTTGGAACTTATAAACAAAATTTTAAATTAAAATTGATACTTCCATTCAAGAATTATTTCAACAAAGGCATTAAGGCAGAAACCAAGATTTGATCTGAATGTTTTTAAACACTGAAGGAACTCCAAGATTAGTCCCTTGAGCTTGATAAAGTGACAGCCCCCATGAACTCCTCATCAGACTCAAGAAGACTCATGGAATGTGGTCGAAGGCATATCTCCAAGTCAATGCTTCCACTTCCTTCGATTCCCGGAAATGAGGAAACTTTCCCATCGAACTTGTTTGCATAACCACTACGAATTGCTACTGCTTTCCCTAGGCCAAATTCATTGCCATACATGTTGAACCTTGGAGAACTTCCGATCAATACGCTGCAAGGATCAATGAGCTCAGCCGCTTGGTAAATGACGGGCGATTGCAGCCATGATTCAACCCAGTTGCGTACAATTTCATCTGTATGGTTGTGCACTGCCAGATGCAATTTCGAGGAAGACCATCCGAGCCCGCGATCAAGCAACTCACCAGCTGCAGCAGTTGCTCTCACCGCCTGAATACAGTTACCTACATATTCCTGAGGCACAGGCGGACATAACCTTGTCCTGTTATTGATTGCCATCATACAGCTTGTTTCCTGATCAGGTGGCAAATTTCGAGTCCTTGTGATGCACCTCCAGACATGAGCTGACAATGCTTGCAATGAAGAAATCTTGGTGGTGTCAGATTCAGCATTTGCTTTAGCTTTCACTTTAGCCAATGACTCTGATGAGAAATGGAAAACTCTTTCCCTCATTTGTGGTGCCTCGTGTCTTCGTACGAATTGATCATGGTGGGTGAATGGAAGGCTAAGAATTGGACCATGCCCCTCAAGAAACCAGCGCTTGTGGATAGGTGGTCTTGAGATCGCTATCTTTTGCCCCTTGGCATTGAAGATCTCGGACCATGTGTTGAAGAAATGCCAATAGGATGTCCCATCAACAATCATATGATTGGCAGAGCAACCAATAAAGATGCCATCAATTAACTCGGTGACTTGAATGGTCAGCAAAGGCCTGGTGTGACCGTCATGGTTGATAGCCCTGTCATGATCAAAGAATGATTGAACAATTTTTGGGACGTCAATTGGTGAAATAATATCATCGATGGTCGAGTTCAAGGATGCATGAACAAATCTTGCCCCAGGACTATTGTTGCAATCAACATAGATGGAGTAAATTGGGGGATTTTCTTGTTTCAAAGTTGCAAGACGACCAGCTAATGGATAGAAATGATCCAGGGTGAGAGCAAGAGATTCCTTGAGCTTCTCCAGGAGGTCCTCCATCTGATTTTCACGGTCGAAAGCTGGAGGCTTGGCAAAAAGAAGGCCCTTCTGAATGTAGTTGGCGCAAGCCATTGCTAGATCCCACTGTGACAAGTAAATCGGTTGCTTTGCCTCTTCTGGTGTGTTTTTTGGTTTGATAAAACATTGTGAGATATGTTGAATCCCAGGAGAACTCATTGCTGCTACTTCAGCTATGTCTTTCTAATGGAGTAAATGGCCCTTGGTTTTTCCAGCCCTTGGAGTAATGGAGTAAATGGCCCTAAAATATGCAGAATGCTTGCCGATTGACATGTCCAAGTCATTAAAAACCATTTATTTTTCTGAGTGCAGCAGTTTCCCCAGAAATTTCATTTGTTGACAAACTGCACTAAACAATCAAGTTGCCAGCTTGACCATCTATAAACAAATCTTCGGATACTTTGGACCAAGACAACCAATCTATAAAACTAGACATAGTTACTTGGATTTCAAAGAAAACTTGTACTGCAGGAACCATAAAGCGTTTAAAATTGTTCCCTGGCCAGGGAGCCTCAGTTGGACCAGACCCGGTGATAAACGAATGCGTGTCAAACTAAACAACATATTTGGTCTACCCATCATCTATCTTTATCACCTTTTGGCTAAACTACTTGAATACAGGAAGAATGTTTTCTCAATTCTCATATGTCTTAGACTATTTGAGTCTAAACGTTGATATTACAATGAACACCCTTTATTTTTTTAATTTACAACAATACACCACCATCCCTTCACAGCTTCCCCACAGTCCTGACAGTGCCTCCTCCCCAAGCATTTACCCAGCCCTTATCTCTACAATCTAATCATACCAAACCACGCACGGTTTTATTATTGAAGTGAACAACAAAAGTCTTCTTGATCAGAATTCAAACATTTATTCATCCAAAAAAAATCTAAAATTTTGTTGTTGGTTTAAGATTCACCTAAATCAATAGCAACTCCATCATTGACAACCAAATCAATAGCAATTCACTAATTAATCATGATCATGGCAGCAGTTTCTCTTTGGTTCCAGTGACAATTATTACTAGCAATAGTACAGAAGCGTGGTCAGTGAAATAAACCCTGAGAAAAATGAACAATAAACAGAAGAGTTGTCGGTACCTGAAGAAGAGAAGAGGAGAGAAGAAATCAAAGGCTAAGAAGATACCGAGAAGGGCAACCACCCTTGAAAAAAATCTCCAATCTCTTCGATTTAGCCTTCAGTGGTTTCTTATACCAAATGAATATGCACTTGGAATTCTTGTTAAATGCATCAAGAAAAAGATGGTTGAGGGCCACTTTTAATCACAAACACAAAAAAGTTAAAAATGAGATTGGTTAAAAGAGATTTGGATATCAAAAAAACTAGAGGTGGAGCTGGGGAGCTGGAGGGACCATGGGAAACTGCGTTTGAGGGAGCAGTAGGAGTAGCCAGCCCAGGGAAGAGAAATCGAATGCCATGTTATTAATTTTTCTTCATTTAAGGAACCAAAGACAGCATTAGAGTGAATACAACTTTTGACATATTTCGCTTGAATAATAAAAGTATATTTGTTCAATTGAATCACCCAAATAAATACTCAAAAATAAAGTGGTATTCCTATTTAGTATATTGGACTACTAAATTGTGATAAAGCTTAAATTGCCCCAAATAAAAAAAAAAGGAAGTGAAATAAAAAAGGGTAAATTACTTAATACCCCTATGTGGTTTTACAAAATGCCAAATGACCTGTCCTAAGGTTTTAAAATAACCACATAACCCCCTATGGCTTTTATGTAAAGTGAAAAAATGGATGGAATGCACAATCAATTACAGCGTTCATACCAAATGTGCTTTAAAAGGCCCTGTGATAAAATCTTAATATCCAAGTAATTCCCTTATGATTTGTATAAATACTTACTTTACCCCCTGTAATTTTTACATTTATCCACGTAATCCCTCTATACTTTTGTGCAGGGTGGTTAAGCCGTCAATTGATTTAGTATTTAAGTAATGACACTATTCGTATTTCAACTAACCACATTGCATAGTTATATTGTGTTAAATTTTCACTTTATATAAAACTATAGATGGAGTGCAGTGGGCATTTGACATGCTAGGAATCATGTGACAATAGATGAAATCACAGGGAGATTATATGTAATTTATCCTAAAAATAGATAAATAAGAAATAGAAAATTAAGAAGCATACTGAAAATGAAAAAACAAAGAAAAAAGTGACATTGTGGTATGCTATTTTCTATTTCTTGTTTATTTATTTTCTATTTATCTTTCTTCTTTTTGCATTTGGGACAAATAAAGATTTATTATGATTTTGTAGGGCAAAGTACAATTTTTTAAAAACATCTTTTCCCTTTCCAAAGGTAAAAGAAGAAGAGAAAGGAAAGGAAAAAAGGGCAAAAGAAGAGAAAGGAAAGGAAAAAAGGGCAAAAAAAAGTAGTGAAATGGTGAATTAGTCAATTCATTAGTTTTTGTTTCACTTTTTGACATTGATCCTTAGTTTTAATGAAAAAAACTAATCACAATATTTTAGTCCAAAAATTATGAAAGAATTATATATAAATTTTTAAAATATAGGAGAACAATGTAATAAAGCACCAAATCACACAAAGTAAAAGATAATTTACTCTTCTTCTTTTCTTCGGTGCGAAATCTTATCTTACATATATAAAGCGTCGATAGCCTTTGTGAACAGTGCAGGATGAGCGGTTATCACGTGATTCTTGTGGCTTTGAGGGGTGTTTTGGTCCTATTTTTGTGGCTTTGAGGGGCGTTTTGGTCCTTTGTCATTCGGTGTTAGTGGCTGCGCTGGAATTTCCTTTATCTGCGTGGCTCTCATTCCTTTCTTCTCATCCGCGTGGCTCTCATGCTTTTCTTCTCATTCTTGGCCTGTTCTTGGTTTTGGGAACACCGCTTCAATTCCTCATTCTTCTTCTTAGCTTTCTCTGGCCGGTGGCGGTCAGCAATTTTCTCTCATTCTCGGTCAGCAACTTTCTGCTCACAATTTTGGCAGTCACCGATTCCTAGCGGTCAGTGGGCGGTGGGGGACGATTTTGCTAGCCAGAAATTTCTGCTCACAATATTGGCACTCACCGATTCTTAGCGGTCAGTGGGCGGTGGGCGGTCATTATTCTTAGCTTTCATTCTCAGCTTTCATTCTTCTTAGCAATTTTTTCTTAGCTTTCATTCTTCTTCCCTTCTACCGCATAGCTGTGTGAACACGAAAAGCACGAGTGAACTATCGATCTAGGAGTCCGCGTCTTCTTAGCTTTCATTCTTCTTCCCTTCCACTGCATAGCTGCATGAACACGAAAAGCGTGAGCGAACTGTCGATTTAGGAGTCCGCTGTCAATCTTGTTTTCAAAGAAGGGGAATTTAGTAAACCCACCGCAAGTTGTCGTTCAATCCTCCCCCCTCTTCAAACTCGGCTGCGGGCGCAGTAGCACCAACTATGTGTATTACCAGCTTTTGTTTCGTGCGATGGGTTGGACTTGGTTTTTGGAGCTTAATCCCCTCCCATTCCTCTTCCTCTGCTTTGCTTACATAAAATTGTGTCTTTTTTTGCCCTTTTACAATCAAATTGTTTATGTTTTTTTTTTTTGTGGAATTTATTTCTATTGGTTTCCGTTAATCAATTTGTACCATTTTTTTTTGTAAACAGTATATTCTCGAAAAGTTGAAACTTGTTGAAGAAAGGCAAATGGAAGGAAGGGACTCACTTTGTTATCTTTGAACAGGTTTATATCAATCAGTTTGCATTACAATTGTCAAAGGAATTTAGCTTCTTAGATTCCAGTTGGGAAGAAAGACTTTGGATAGTGGACGTCGATTTTAGTGCTGAACCACTATAAATCTTCTTTTTAATTTTACTGCATTTTGTTTACAGTTTGTTTCTATTAACTTATCTTCTTTTAGCTTTATAATTGTTTGGTTGAGTTGGGACAGGTTAATCTGTCCGAAGAATTACTATCATTTCCCATATCAATCTATTTCCCATTAGGTTGGCCTATGTGGGAGAACAATACACACACAAACAATTTATTTCTTTTTTTTTTTTTTTTGGTGTCACTCAAACCCCTGAGGGACAAAACTATCCTGTAATATGCTAACAATTTATATATTCTTTTGGGCAAAAATATTCCATACCAATGAACCACTGAAAAACTTCCAATAAAGCAACAACCATCAACAACTTCCGATATCTATATATATATTGAAGTTGATATTTGACCCAAAAAAAAATCAACAACTTCCTAAAAAAAAAAAGAAGAAGAAAAACACAATTTTTTCATTCATATTTTTAAAAAAGAAAAAAATCTCCAACAATTACTTAAAAAAATTTAATAATTTTCCTTTTAAATTTACACATGCATACGGTCTGTCATTGCCACTGGTAGATGATAGAATTGGTTGCCATTGTCATTGCCACTGTCATGTTTATCTGTGTAATTAGAAAAAAGACATTCAATCACATGATTACTATATCTAACAAAGAAAAAAAAAACACACAAACATAACAGAAAAATAACGAGTGTCAGCTACCTGATGCATGGCATCAGGGCTAAAAATCTAGTGGAACTGTAAAGCAACAATGAAGCAATCAACAGCTAAACATAGCCCATGTGGGAATAATAACCTGAGAGGACTGGAAGTCCAGGTGAAGGGATCAGTACGAATCTAATAACACTGACAAGGATATCATAAGACAATTGTCTTGTAATACGTGCAATTGGCAACTGCTTTTCTTTTCCTTTACAGGCTTTTGGAGAATAGAAAGAGAGGCTTTTTTTTTTTTCCCGAAATAATGTAGAATGAATGATGAAGGGGCCAACAACATAGTGCAAAAGCTTCTTGCTACTTGCTGCTGCATTGTCTTCAGTGTAATTGAAAGACCAACAAATTCCAAATGTTAACTGCAAGTCCTATTTATCAGTATTTTAATGTCTCGAGTACCATTGCTACTAACCACTGGCCCATCGGCTCAGTGGCCACTACCTAGTTGGTGGGGTGAGATATCTTGCCTTTCATAAAAAATGTAACATTTAAATGACTTGTTTTTAAAAAAATTCAGACGGATGTGCTCTGCACTTGTTTGGTCTGATGGTTACCATTGCTACTACTAATAGACCATTAGTAAGACGTCTCTCAAAAAACAACTGAAGCTACTATTTCTTTTCGCAGTTATTTCACTGATTGATGAAGAAGGATCAAAATCTACATTCTTTTTATGTGGCATTAAGTATTTTTCATTTGCTTAATGGAAATTTCCAAATGAAATGACACATTTTTGTAACGAAACAAGAAGTCAAAGTATCAAGCTGAATAGTAACACATATAATCACTCACAAATACAAGCAAAGTCCATTTGGAAAACAAGAATCTTGTCCCACCAAGCTTTATCAAGAACACAGGATATGAGCCAATTACAAAGTGAAGATATGGCAGAGTAAATCTTCCACCGCCAGTTTAACTTGCAGTAGATAGAGTCACAGACTCTCAAAGTGAAGAAGCACCAATTGAAGCACAAAGGTAGACGAACACCAAGCAGAACAGGTAGAAAGTTGTAGACCAGCTTGCTTGTGGACATTATTGGAGATGCATACATAAACCATATTGAATCCATCGGTGATCAGCCTTCAGCCAGATTTTTTTTTTTTGCCTTTGCTGTCATAAATAACGGAGGACAGTATAGCCGGGTTACTTGAAAAACAAAATCATTTAACCATGGCAAATTCAGATGCAAATACATGCTGCGACTCCATCTCACAAGAAATAGGAGCAGGATAAAGGTGGAATTCGTGAGTACCATGCTCAGCATTTTTAAACATTTTCATCCAACATATGACTCTTTTCACCATAATGTGCAAGAAAAAGATTGTTGCAAAGAATATAATCAGTTCCAGGGAACAAAGAAACAACAGATGTAGACTTTTTCTTCCTAATACTATGAAAGCAGTGGCGGAGTCAGAAAAAATTTTCAGTGAGGGTAAAAGCAACTCCAAAATTTTTTACCTACTCCTTTTTTTTAGTTTTTTAAGGAAAAAAAATATTCACCAACAAGTACAAATAATGCACATATTTTATGAAAAACATCAAAAGACAAACTCAAAATTATTAATGTAATAATAATTTTATTTCAAAAGCAAACTAAACCATTTACAATTGCTCATGACGAGTTTTCATATTTTGATAATGGTTTACAACTTTTTCATTTCGAATTTCACAAAATTTATTTTTTTCAATATAAGTAACTAAACAATTATTCATCCAAGTGTCTTCCATTCTATTTTGTAACCGATTCTTCACTATATTTATCATTGAAAAAACCTTTTCTACGATAGTTGTAACAACAGGTAAAATCAAAGACAACTTTAAAAGCACATAAACCGGTAGATACACAAAACTCTAGGGGGCACACTTGAAATTACATCAAATTTTTATAGGTATTATAGAAATTTAAGGAGACAGTGGGGGCCTATAAACCAATAGATACACAAAACTCCAAGGGGCACAGTTGAAATTACATTAAATTTTTATAGGTGTCATCAAAATTTAAGGGGCCCAGTGCCTCCGGTGTAAATCCGCCACTGTATGAAAGAGAGGTAATATTTAGGCTTGGATGAAATTCAAATCTCTGAATATCTGTTTTTGCATTTTGAACACATTTCCATCCTTCTGATCTCCATGAAAAATGAGCATGCAGTCTTCATGGTCATCTAAACTTTGTTTTTAATCTCAAAATAGAGGTAAAACTTTTCTGATAAGGACTCGTACTATATAAAATAAATCGAATCCTATGCCATATGCATGTATTCTTCCTTGTCGATAATCAAGTAGTATTTGCGAGATTATGATCATGAAGTGTACTCATGTGATACTATATGTGTACGAATTCTCTTAAAGACAGGGTGCATCAAAATATAGAAGAAAATAAGATAGAAAAAAAAAGGTAGAAACTAAGAAACATAAAGTTTATTACCTGCTAACATGAGCAGACATCTAATCCACTTCCTGCAAAGAACTCTATTGTTCCATTCCAGATATTAGGACCTTAAGCTCCTCATTTCCCATGTCTCGCTGCTCATCTTCAATTTCCTTGACCGAAACTGCAGCAGATTGGCTACACCAGTGTACTTCAATTCTCTCCAATGTAGGGATATCCCCAAGACTGGACGGAACTTCCTCCAGTTTTTTACACCTTTGCAATACAAGATGCCTCAGGCAAGGCAAGTGATCGTTGGAAGCTTTCCATTGAGCAATCCATAGGTTGTCAAGTTTCAGGTATTTGAGACTCTGGAATTCTCCCCCCGTCATTTCCCAAATTTGTCCATCAAAAGCTCTTGACAGTAACTTCAGAACTTCAAGGTGGGGTAGCGAAATTTTGACAGAGTTAATTTTTTGAGATTCAAGGGCAAGTTGAACTCGCAAGGCTGACTAACCATGCCATGATAAAGTATCTTCAGAGACTCAAGGTGAGTTGGAAAATCCAACACAGGAAATTTGGTGAACTTCTTGGAGTAATCCGAAGATTCCACAAAAATGCATCTTAGTTTCCGAAGACTCGGAAACCTTCTCAACATCTTTTCTGTAACACTTCCATATGAAAGAGCTGGAGTGGAAAACGTTTCCATGTTCTCTACTAGCGAAGAATAATCAGATTTATCATTTAGCGAGCTGAAAGCAACACGATCATTTATATGTACACGCCTCAATCTCTTCATATTCAAAAAGGAAGATGGCACCAGAACCTCACCCCTTAATGCCTTCACAAGAAATGTTTCTAAATTCCAGAGCTTGCATATTGATGATGGAACAGATTTGACATCACCTCTAACTGCCAAATACTTCAACTGAACAAGTAGTTCTAGTCCAATGGGAAAGGAATCACCCATGTTGATGCTTTCCACATCTAACACTCTAACAAGTTTAAAATTCTGACAAATGAATGAAATATCATATGGGTGAATTCTTAGTTTATGATGGAAAAAAAAAAGAATTCTACAACGAGGGCGATTCTTGGAGTGTATTCTGCAAATAGGGGTCTTCGCATTCCGGAAATGCGAGCTCACTGAGCTCGCATTCCGCCAATGCGAGCTCGAATTGGAGCTCGCATTCCCGGAATGCGAGCTCACTGAGAGCCAAGACAAGGAGGAAATCATGCAAATATTGAAAATACTTCATGCAAGATGGTTCGGCAGCAGGCTCGCGGCACAGCCTTTATGGTGTCTGATGTTGTTTCCTTTCATCCGACTGCAACTAATGACTTGAACAGTCAACACTTAGACTATAGTAATAAAAATTCTAAACATTTTCCATCTTTTAGCCGCAAAAATCCTTATGTTTAAGCACAAAACAAATTAGATGAAAGGATCATGCGAGCATCAAAGAACAGTTTTTTCTTCAACAACAATGCTTCTGCAAATTTCGATGCAGAAAAATCATGCAAAGCTTCAAACAAAACTAGTGAACCTATCACCCCAAATACCCCTTAACACTGAACACTTCAAATGAAACCAGGGTTATTGATTATAAACACAAATCTCAGCAGATCAGAACTTGCGGCCAAACAAAGACAACCAAACAGCAACTGAAGTAGATAAAGTTTCAAAGCCGCAAGTCTGAACCAGCAAACTAGGAGTTGATGCAAAGAAACATTAAATTAGAGCTCGCATTTGTGGAATGAGAGCTCAATAAGTAGAGCTCGCATTTCGCGAATGCGAGCTCTATTCTAACCTCGCATTCGTGAAATGCGAACTCTACTGAGCTCGCATTTCACGAATGCGAAGACCCCCCGGACGGAATCCATTACCAAAATCACTCCTTTTGTAGAATTTTTTTAAAATTCATCACAAAATTAGAAATTTCTCAATATCATATGGAGTTCTTGAGAAATTTCTAAAATTATGATGATTTTTAAAAAAATTCTACAAAGGGGACATTTTTTGTATGGGATTCCGTTCGGGGGTCTTCGCATTCAGCAAATGCGAGCTCAAGGAACTCGCATTTGCTGAATGCGAGGTCTCCCTGAATTT